CGGTTTCTTGAGATTATCGGTTTAGCATATGATGTCAAACTACCAACGGAATCTCAACGCCGTCGTATGGCTATTGTTCGTTGAACTGCTGGGGAGAGACGGCGAGATGAAAAAAAGAGATTAATTCTATGTAATTAGAATAATTTCTAGTCCTAAAAAGAGTTTATTGTTTATTTTATTTATTTTACTTTTTGATGTTTTGGGTAAGCGCAGTGAACGTTTCCGATGTGTTTGGTGTTGGAACAAGTTGATTAAGATATATTTGTCGTAATTTGGTTACTTATAAATCCTTAGTGGAGAGGCAGTTAATACGTTTATTATTATTATGGTCTCTCTTTGTCTGTGAGACTACTTTATTATATATGCCTGAAAATATCTATCTAATCGTCCTTCTCTAGCGAGCTGTAAAAGAAAAATGCATCTTGCCTTTGTTGAAATAACACTAGTACATGTTTTTCAAAAGCTGTAAAAGAAGAAAAGCAGAAACATGGACATTTTTCAAAGGGGATACAGTGGTTTCTGGAGTTTGTTGTTGGCTTTTTTATACAGTGTTTGATACATTGGTTTCTTGAGTTTGTTGTTGGCTTTTATACGGTGTTTGTTTGGCATATAATAAGTCTGAACATCTATGTCTAGGTACCTACCTACTAAGGCTACTATTTAGGAAATCATCATATATTCACGTTTTAATTTTTATTTTCTTTCTGACATCAATATTGAAGTCGGCACTCTTCTTTTCAGTCAGTTAATCATATTCATATGCAAAAACATAAATAAACCATGATATTACAAATAATCAATTTCAAACCTATATAATAACAATGATAATAATCAATTTCAAACCTATATAACAACGATGATTGATTTGAATCATTTGATGATGACTATATTGCTAATACGAATCGCAGCATTTACCCCAATCTTTCATATGAGCATCATAACCAGTTTATGTACAAACATAATGGGCCTCTGACATTTATGAAAAAATGTAGCATTCTCCATATATGATGAAGTGGTCACTAGAAGGGTAAATATTCTTTATACATAGTCTCTCTTTGTTCTTGAAGGAAAAAAAGTTTAAGTCAGGAGGACCACACACCTTATCAAGAGACTACAGATGCAAACCAAAGCTTTACTTCAGAAAATATGCATAAGATTTGAAGTTATCCTTTGCCTCTCGGATAATCGCCAAAGCTTATGCTTCCTCTGGAGTCTCTGAAAACAAAATAGTCACTTTGAGACCACCCCTTTTTAGTAACAGCTTCTCACCAACACTAGAAGTCTAGAATAGCAAAATATGACAGACCAATGTGTGTTCATGACCATAGTATATGCTTCTGTCATCTGGTAAAGATGTGATCTTTTAAAGAGAAGCAAGCATATGCAGTCTCAGCTTATCCTCACACATTATGTGGATATAATCATATAATGATGACTGAAATAGTTGAACCGTCTAAGGCTTATTGGAATGCAAGAACATGCCGTGTATATATATAACAGTCAAAGCTTCCATAGTTAATATGTGAGTTATAAAACAACCTTTTGTGTGACCAGGAGTGTCCATAACATGGACATCATAACCAGCAACCATCCATTTTTCACCATCTCTAAAGGCTATATCAAATTCCATAACAAGAAAATGAACAACAACAAGAGACTAGATTCAAACAAGAGCCAACAGGCTTATTATGTCCATAACTGAATGCGATATCTTTACAGTTTGACGCCTTCAAACATCATTACAATCCTTAGTACATATCTAAGAGCCATGTAGAGAATCTTGAGAGGTGCTTTTGAGTCAAGATTCTTTAGTATTTCTTGAGAATCTTGAGAGGTGTTTTGACAGAGATAGATCATCAAATGTCCCAATCAGACCGAACCGGAATGAACCGTACCAAATATTAAACCAAATCAATAAACAGCTAGGCATCTCTAGCCTTTCAAGAAGACGTGTCTTCACGACTATGGGTTTATTGGAAATTTAAAATCCAAATCGTCTTCACATTGTGCTGAAAAAACATCTTTTATGTTATTTTGTACATTTCTTTTTGACTTCTTGATCTATGTTAAATTCTCACATTAACCAAGATTTTACTATATTCTATCAAGCATTGTCGGGATGTTAATATTTATTAACTTGGCATATTTCAGATTTATGGAATAATCAAAACTAATGTATAAGGAGAGGTGCATCATACAGTAATATTATCTTTTCACTTATATAAATGGGTTTGAAAACATGAATCTATATACGTGTAAGTATCTAAAAATAGTGTAATTTAATTTCGTATAACATCGAATTTGAAACGTACTAGCCTCTCAATTTCTTTTTCTTACCACCCGACCACAATGTATCAGATACATTGTCGTGATATTTCAATAAAAATATGTTTTTATTTCTTATTACCTTATTATAAAGGATTTTTATAATCATTTTTTTTCAAATAATTACGAAAAATACTTATTTTTATAGTAAAATACTTAAATCTTTTTATTGAAAATGTTTATAAAGACATTTTAAAGATACAAAACGTTTTGAAAAATATTTTTTAAATGACGTAACTATTTAAATAATTATTTATATCTATATATGTTTATAAAAATTGGTAGAAAAGTCTTTTAATGGAAATGTATTTGTAAAAATATCTCCTAAACGAAGGAAAACATGAATTGTGCTACAACAAATAAGGTAAAAATAGAATTTCACCTAACAAATCACATAGAAAAATAAATGATAAACTAACGGACTATTAAAAATATAAATTAAAAGTGTTTTCTAAAATAACATTACTTTTTAATATTTTTGTATAACACTTTTTCAAAATAAAATATTCATAAAAATAAAAATAAAAATATAATATATAACCATATCATAAAACGTTTTTATATTTTATATTTATTATTAATGTAATTAATCTTGGGATATAATTAATTGTTATTAGTTTTGTGATGTTAGCTAGATAACAATATAAAGTTTATGAATATTATTATGCGTACCATATATTTGTGTAGTTGATTGTACATTTTTTAATTTTGCATGGTTAACTATGTGATGGTCTATACTTCAGTTCAGTTAGCCGATAATCATTTTTTCCTTTTCTTAATGTGTTTTAGTTTGGTAGACCTACACAAGTATGCAAGTATTCAACAATGAAAACGTTATTTAATTTATGTTTTATACTATTCGATAATGGATCCACATACTCGTTTGCATTTTTAATTGGTTCCTAGTATTGTAGAAAAATCATAATGCTGGATTAATGCGGCGTTGTTGAAACATAAATTGCTATCTTCTTCTGGTAGATGTTGTGGATCAACACTCGTTAGTCATTAGTTCATTACTCTCAGGTACTCATAATCTAAATGCTGTCAGATATATAAGCCAAGCTTAAACCGGGATTGTGAGTCTGTGATCCGGTTTATATACAGATTATCCGGTTCTGGTGTGAATAAGAACTAAGGATAACCGAGTCATGTATAACTTGTTTGATTAATTCCAGTAGCTCTTGTTCAAATATTTATAGCCGAGTCTCTTCCTATATAAAAGTCAAAATTCAAGAAAATCTCACGCGACCAAAATCCTCGAGTCAAACAAACACAAACCCTAATCTCATGACTCAATTAAGTTTATAACCAAACTAAATGTATAAATAGAATAAGATAAATAAAATTCATCCTGAATTTCACTTTGAGAGGGATCCGGTTTGTTTTCCAGTGGAACGGTCCTTCGAATAATCTCTACCTAGTTTCACTTACTTTTACTAGTGAAAATGAAACCCTTGTAGCCCAGTCGTCATACATTTACTACACATTTAATCGTATTAAACGTTGGTTTTGGTCCTATAACTCAATCTGTGGAAAGAAAAACAAAATAATGCGACCTTTGGAGTCTTTTTTAAGTTGCACAGACCTTTAAAACATTTCCTAATCCTAACGGCATTCGCAAAGTTTGAATGCAAACCTTAAAAATAGTTTATGCCTAATTATAAACATGAAATGAAACCCTCTTTCAAAAAAGAAAAACATGAAATTATTAAATTTTCAATACTAACTTCATTAATTAGTGTGGATGCGGCTATATTATCTGAAACATTGGTTTAATATTCCACATGTCTCATGACTTGTAACCACGTGTCTGTGATCGGGTGATCAAGGTGTTCCATAGATCCCTAAAAGAATTCAAATTCAAATCCGTATCACACCAAATTTCCATAACGCGTGGCCACCGAATCTTTCATATTTTCTCTCCGGAGAATGATTTACCACCACCACCATGTCTCATGGCTTGTACAAATTAGCCATTTGAAATTCTAATAAATTTACGACATGTAGGCTTATACGTAATTTGTTGAAGTTGCGATATGAGGATTCATAGTAACTATGACTCTAACCGTTTACGAAGCGATCAAAATGGTTGTACAAGAAACTTATCAATGTTTTACTAACTTTAATTGTGTCGGCGTATCTGAACCGTTGTCCTTCACTAGTTTTTTTTTTTTTGTTTTACCGTCCTGTGTGCCCTACGAATTCATATATAGACGGTAAAAAAACTTGTGATTTTCATCAATAAACTATTACTCTATCTAAATAATCTTTTTTATGCTAGAAACTTGAAAATAATAAATTTTCAACCGAATGCTACAAAAAGAGAATTTAGCATCAACTACCAAGCCGAAATCAAGCCAATCTAAACGAATGTTTAGGTAGCAGCTAGGTAGCTAGGGCCCGGTCTTGTTACTTTTTTTAGCAAAAAAGCCATGTGGACTTGGACAAACCGTGTTTAAGTGAATTTTCTAATCCAATAATCCTACAGGTTGATTCAAAAAGTTGAAAAACCAATTCTTTTGTAGTAAAGTCAAAGTCAAAGTTCCTATGTGTGTGTATGTATGTGTATACATAAACATAAGATAGTGAGACGAAATGCACAAGTCAAACAACGACGTCTCAAGAACCCTATATATAAGAGTCATCATCGAATTTATTACACATACAAACCAATAAAAGACCCTAACCAATAAAAAGCGCATTCTTGTTTTTATTTTCTTTCATTCAAAAAGAACAAGAAGAGAAGAAAAGTTTCAAGTATGATGAAAAGACAACTAGTTCTCGTACTACTCTTAGTTGCTATTTTCGTTGTTGTCTTGAACGTTACGCAAGTCGAAGCCGTGAGGTCTTTCCCTGTGGACGTCGATGAGATCAGGCTAATGTTGCAGGTGCTGCAAAGAGGTCCGGTTAGAGGCTCTGGTAGGAACGGTTGCACCAATATTCCTCGCAGCGGTTCAGGAAGGTGTCGCCACGGCTAAACCTGTTATACGATACTTCTTCTGTCTTTACCATTCTTTGATTCTTTTTTTTTTGCAACATTTGTGTGTTTACGTACATAATTACATATACGTAGTTATACGATAGCTTTAGACTTGGTCTCATATCATTTGAGTTGTAAGCAACAGAAATATAACTGGTTTATTTAGTATGTGTGTTCTCGATGACAAATTGACAATGCAAACATGTTTTGTTTTCGCTAATCACGAAGTTGGTCAAGAAAATAGCATTTTTAGAAACAAATACCAACAAAATCAAAGTTTACCAAGAAAACTTAAAATAATAATAATCAAAAGAACTTTTTTTTAAAAGACTTTAGTGGACTTTTCAGTTTGAAAAGGCAGACAATAAAGTGAATAATTTAAGTATTTGACTTTAATAATTTTACCAGAAAGAATCACATAACACATAAACATGCCCACTATTTACAGCGTACCGTCTGAATTAGGAAAAGCTGTTGTCATGGCAATGTACAAAACCTGCATTGGTGTATGAAACTTGGGATAACAAAGCATTACCTGTAACACAAACTAAAACAACATTGTACGTACGTTGAGGATGCATAGACGCCAACGCACTGATCTTGAATCATCAGACTAGTTATTGAGATGGACGTTTTACTAATATTCCTGAATTCAATATCCTATATACAGCAATTTCCGGAACATCGTATTCTTGTGAGGTGTAGAGAGCTAGAACACAGAGCATGAAATGCATGCACCTTGCAGAACTGCCTATGTTTTGTAGCCAAACATTAGATGCTTGTTTGTAATAACGACCCGTTAAAATTCTCTGCCACCAGTATTTTTGATTGAGCTCCAATAATTCATCTGCGAATATTCACTCTTGGATGAGCCCTGCAATGAAAATGACGCAGGTGTGTGAAAGAAGAGGTTTAAAAGAACAGGTTACATGGGAGAAGGGGAAAAAGGTTTTGAAAGCAGAGGTTTAAAAGAACAGGTTACATGGGAGAAGGGGAAAAAGGTTTTGCTTAACGCAAAGGCTCTGTCTCTCCAAACCTTTATCTACCAATATCATCTCTGGCATTTCGTCGAACAGATAACGCACAGGTTTTGTGGGTCATAGATTCTCGAGATGATTGGTGGTGTTCCGTTTAACGATTGCGCGGTTTGAGGTCCGAACGAATCAAAATCTATGATTGAGAATGAGGGTGGTTTTGTCGACGCCGGCGAGGATCGTGTATTAAGCTAGATGGGCTTCCAACCTAAAACCAATTGGTGATAAGTGGAGTGGCCCATCTATCTTATATATTAGATAGAATCCCTTCCAACTTTCGATGTGGGACTTTGTCCCTAATATCGTGGAGGATGAGCGGCTGAGTAACACGGCGGCGTTGGGACATGTTTGAGAACGGTTTTCTATTGGAATGATCTTTACCGGTTTAAACCGGTTTGGTTTTCAACTCCGGTTCTCAGTATCGGTTTGCGAATAATTTTGAGAGCTTCCACTGATCTAGATAACTAACCAGTAAAGGGCCAACGGATGTCTATTAAATTCACTGTAGACTCCGGTTAATCAGACATTACCAATAAATGTTTTTTTTTCAACTGTAACATAACCAATATAATTTGTAAATACTTAGATAATTTATTTCCTTAAGTTTCAATAAGTTTCTAAACTCTACAAAACAATGATACACGTACTATATACATGAATACTTTCTAGTATATACAAAAACAACAACAACAACAAATCAATTCAAAGCTAATATGTGATCAAAATATACGCGAGTGCTCTCATCCGCGGCGGCATATGCCAGAGCCTTTGGGGATATTGGTGCAACGGTTTCTGCCGGATACAGGAACCGGACCTTTCTGCAAAGACTGGAACACGAGCTGGGTCGTCTCACTATGGACGGTGGTTCGTAACAGCCTTGTGGCTTCTACTTGTTTGGCCTTCATGAAAATCAAGACGAGTGCAAGCAAGATCACACTGATAATCACTTGTTTCTTCATGATCACTTGTTTGGCGTTCATGAAAATCAAGACAACTTTGCTGTCTCTTTTTGAACTAAAGAAGGAATATAGAAAAGTCAATTTGTAAGGTCTACGATTTGTCTCCCACTAAGTAGAGTTGATATATGTATATATACTGAAGTTCATATTTATATGTTTTGACTTTTACGTAGAGATACTAATTGGGTTTTCAACATTTGAACCAAAATAAATAAATATTGAAACGGATCAAAACGAGTTAACGCAACACGGTTTCTGTCTTGGACAACAAGGTTTTGCTTTTTTTTTGTGGTTCTCACCAAAGTTCGCTAATTTCAAGCAAATGAGGAGGAAAATACAATAGTAATGTTCTGATCCGGTTTAAGTGGGTTACCGTAAATAATGGTAGGAAACTCGATATTTCTGCCTCATTGCCTAGGACCTTGGTCGTAATTGTACTGTATAACCGGGTTCAAGGTATGAGTAATTTTCTTATGATTTTTTTTGTTTGTTAATTTTTCGGTTGGTTGAAATTAGAAACAAGCTGTTCAATAAGACTGGGCAGGCCATGTTTAGTAATTTAATGTTATATGATATTTTATTATTTGATGTTGAGTAATTTTTGAGAAAAATATTTGGACTCGAAAATGTAAAATTGTTTGGGTTGCTTTATCATACATTTGAATTTCTATGTAATCTCACACTGTACATTTCCAGTTAAAAGCTGAAAACTATATGATCACATTAATCATGTCCATTAAACAAACCAGTTATTCTTTTTTATTTGCAAAAGTTTTTTCAAACTAATTATTCTTGCTTTGGTGTTGGTAGAGAGGAGCTGACTCTTGGATGAATGTTGGTTGAAGTTGCATGCATTTTACTGCCGGTAATTTTGGTGGCTCAAAGCCAAAAGATTCTTTTTTTTTTATCATACACAAGATAGGTATCTTATCTAACTATTTTTAAACAAAATCACATATTTGAGTCAATCATTTTGTAAAAGTAAAATATGTACGTGTTAGTTAAATGTTTCTCAACCAAATAAGGAGAGCATGTTTTTTTAAGATCTACTCTTTTAGGTCACTTGTTCAAATCTAATGTTGTTTCCATGAAGGATCATTAAAGCAGCAGTTTTATATCAATAAATAAAAATGGTTGGCTGACTTGATTTCTGAGATGCAACACGTCCAAAAATATCAATACTAACAAAGATTTTAGAAGATTATCCAATCTTTATCAAACCAGTCACTTGTACTCAAACAGGCCATGGAAACATGACTTCCTGGTAGTTAAGAGATTTATTTGAGCTGCAAAGTGACTCACTGCGATCCATAGACCTTGATGTAATATCACTTATCTGGTTAAGGTTGGAGTCCGAGACTACTTGGTGAAACCAACTGTGAAGATCCTGGGGTGTATCTTGAGCTAGAAAGTTCCCTTGTTCAGTACAATCCCTTTGAGGGAAATTTTTAGAAGCTTCTTCTCTAAGAAGGACCACTTGTGCTTGTAGACTAACAACCTTATACACAAGCAAGTCAAAGAACTTGTCACCACACTAGAGATTTTCAAAATTAAATCCGTTTTATATGGAAAAAAACTCATATATTCTTCATAATTAAGTGAATCATAACCAAACAATAAGATGAAAAAACCTGTTGCTGAAGGAAGAAGATTTGGGAGACGCAGCCGTAAATAGGATCATGGAGACGAGACTGCGCCTCATAAGAGATGGTTCGTACGGCATCGTATCGGTCCTGATCAGGGAGATTATAAATGAGCTTGGAGAAGTTGCTGGCTCCAAACACTTTGTGAATGGCTGCAAAATTAGAAGACCCTTCTTCGTAGCAAAAGTACGGTGCAAATACACAACCTTCTACACATTTTCTACGCAAGAACTTGCAAGCTCCACATGGTGAACCTAAACCTCCCATTCTCAAAATATAATCCTTACTTAAAAGATTGTTTTCTTGGAGGAAGATTAATACTACTAATGACGATTATATAGTGAATGACAATGTTTATACAGAGTGTATAAGAGAAAAGGAATAAGGCGGGATTTTATTATATACATTACAATATATTTAGTGTGTGTGCAAAATATATATAGTAACCCAATTTGCTGGGTTACATGTTTGTCTCTCTAATGGCGTACAATTGCAAAAATGCTCCTTTATTTATCCTCCCTTGAGTTTATATACATTGTAAAATATTTATTTTTAATATAACGTTTATAAAATGTTATTGTGTATAACCTTTAGAGGAGGAGAATATAATTAAATATTTGAGAGAAAAGATATAAATATTGAAATCCGATCGATTAAGAGATTTAGTTGACGTATAGGACAAAACAATGAGTAAACATGAACCAAACCCATTTCCCTTTTTGTTCTGATTGGTAAATAATAGTTTTTATTTACTTGATTTTGCTACATAATTTAAATGTTAATTCGAATGTTTGTTTGGTTTACTTTCTCTTCCAAATGGTACGATTGTGAAAGTAAATGATTCAAGTATATATAGGAGTTTCTTCATTATTTGAACGTTTAGAGGAACCTGCATCAAAACAAAGGTTGGCAGTATTAGTCTGAAAATTTTTCTAACTAGATTTTAAACATTTGCTATGCTATCAGTTTTGAGTCGACTAAACTTTACAGGCTAGAAAAATAGAGACCCATCATTATCCAGCCCACATGACAATCATGATTATCAACAAAGATATTCCAAAACCAATCATTTTTAAGTACAAAAGGTAAATTATTAGAAAATAATGAACAAGTGGTAGTGGATTTGTGACTTAGTGTTGGTTTAGTGAAGATTAAAAATATTCAGAAAAGGATTTTGGAGATCCACGCAAGAAACAAAACATGAATCCAGAACTAACACGGTACGTGCTGATTGTTTATCTTTACAGAGATAATTCTGTTTGTAGTTTTCACATCTGTGTTTTCATTTAGTATGATTAGTCTGCTCTATGATTAGAATTTACTTAAATATATAAAGGTAATTAAAGTGAATATAAGTTACCGTGGTATATTTATATGTCTATACAGTATATAAGAGATCGAATATGTAATCTCTTATAATCTTGAAATACAATTATTGAGAAAATATCGTTTGTTTTTGAAAAAATTCATACACGTTTGCGGTTTGCAATAATAGTAACATTCTAGTCTGAGCATAACGTCAACACGTACAACCCAATAAGGCAATAACTAATTCAGGTAACTACTGATTGCAAGTGATAGAAATGGCTGGATTTGTGTATATCAGAGGTGAGGGGACATAAGCGTCAACTTCATTAATCATTTCATTGCTTATGTGACGAAAAGAAAATGATGTTGGAGATTTGTAATCAATAATCGATCACTTTATGTTTTTTTTTCTGCTTATGAAAGTTGCTAGGACACCGGGAAAGATCAGATCATAGTTCTAGGTGTGTTATGAAAATGGAAGTTGTATGGGAGAAGATAAAAATCTCAATAAGTGAATGTAAGTTGTCTGTTTTATTAAATCTGATACAAGAAAGACTGTTTAAGTTGAGCTTATATATATTAACAGACAACTTACACTCACTTATTAAGTTTTCTGTGAAAATGGAAGTTGAGCTCAATAAGTGAGTGTAAGTTGTCTGTTATTATCATGAACTTGTTGTGTTAATCTCAAAGAGGACCTGAACACAACAAGTTCATGATAGTATATCGATTAAGGACATAACACACTGGAGAAGACCAGTTTCTCACCAGTACATTAGGTGTTGTGTCTTTGCTGTATAAATTTGCATGGATAATCTTTCCTTGTGCAATTAATTTGTTTATTATCCTGGTCTTATCAGGTTGAAGCATTTACTCAACGGCATTGTCAAACCAGATTCAAATACAAATTGCCAAAAAAAACCCAACATTTTCTATTCATACGATTAAGGAAGCTACAACAGTTGAGAGTAGTCTACCAAAAAAAATCAACAAAATAAACAAAATCCTTTTGAATGCCTAAAAGAAAAATAAAAATACTTGTGTGACACGAGAGAGAGAGAGCTAGGATTAGAATAAAGAAAGATTAAGCCACATAGAGCAAAGCTGTTTTCCCATGAATCTCTGATCACATAGACCCGAGGTTGCTAGAGTCCTCCACCACCTTCGAGTGCCTCCTAATATGAGTCTCTTGATCAGCCTCGAGATCAGAATCCATCTCAGAGTCCTCTGGTGGTGGTGTTCTGTTTAGGTCCGAACCCTCGAGTAGGTTGCTGGTTGGATCTAGAATCCAAACTCCAGTAGCTCTGCTTCTCTTTGGAGTCCAATATAGCATAATTCTCCTGCTTGCCTCTTCACACGCAAACGGATCCCCAGAGATTACAACCATATCCATGGATGAAGATGAAGATGGTTGAGCCACAGCTAGAGGATCGAAAACAAAATAGAGAGTGCCATCTTGCGAGTGGAAGGACCAGAGACGACGAGTCTGGTTTGCGGCTAGGTCGTTTTGGCGGACAAACTTGTTCCAACCACAACATAAGGCGTAGTTGGAAGTGGTCCACATATCCCATATCCTAAGGTTAGCGTTACATTCCTTCTCAGCATCATTACTATTCAACAAGATCACATCAACTCCTTTCGGACGATCAACTCCTTTCTCGCCATCTTTACTGCGATGCTTCTCTAAGATCTTCAGCTCTGCCTTGGTCAAGAAGTCATCCTCTGTTATTTGCTTAAAGGGTATCAAGAAACGTCCTTGGTCTGGTTTTAGATCTGTCTTTGTTATCACCTTCTCTATCACCATCTTCCCATCCACACCGTTCTTTTTCCCCATCAGCTCAACCAACCATCCCGGCGGCGTTACTCCAGACTCTCTTCTAACCGGTTCCTTTTGCTTAACCGGTGCCTTTCTTTTCTTAACTGGTGGCTTGATTGCTCTAATAGGTTGTGCCCTGATGGGTTCGTCATCGGACTCCACCACACGACGCCTCTTGGACTCGACCAAACTCCTCGAAGAAGAAGAAGAAGAAGAAGCGTTTTCTTGATGCTTGGACTCATCATCATCGATATTTCGTTTGTGATGGTAAGTGTTGGTAAATGCAGTAGTAATAGTATGGATCATGAGCATGTTTCTCTCTTGTTCTTCTTTTCCACGTCTCGCTCTTATTTCGTCATTACCAAAAGCTTGAATCAACGTCGAAAAAAGATCAAAACATCTCTTCTCTCCCTTCTCGCCACGTTTGTTATCCATCTTCCTCTGTAAAGATGGCGATGAATTGAATCTCTCTCGATTTATGTAAACAGCAATAAGAAGATACTAATGATTAATGATTAGAAAGGGTTTTAGATATATATAGCTTTGCACGCGACACCTTAGGAATAAAGGAATTTGTCTGAAGATTAGTCTGACAGTTGTTTAATTTTTTTTTGGTTAGTTTTAATTTATCTACGATAAAAAAATATAATTATGTAAATATGAGAAGATTTTGTCTAGTTAAGTAAATCTGATAGAGATTGTTTCTATCATCTGAAGTCCACACGCGTATTTACCATATTAATCTGTGTAATTATCTGACAATTTTATTTTATAATTATATCTATCAACAAGTTTTGAGTGTTTTTATTTTTATTTTTATCATTATCATCAAAACTTGGTATTCAAGTTTTGTTGGAAAAAAATCTATTAAGTAAAATTTCTTTAAAACATTAATTATATTATTTTGCACACATACTTTTATAATTATTTATATTTTCAGAAACAATTTAAATATCTAAAAATTTGAACATTCAATATAAATAATTGAGACAATTCATTTAACATAAAGTATAGTCTTAGAATATTTCAAAAACAAAATTTTGTGCGAATACTCAAGAATATGGAATAAGGTAATTAGAGAAGCTAAACATATGCTTTTACTCATCATTCATATAGATTCACTCTTTTGCTATCAACTGTGTTAAGTTCATCAAAAAAATTGGGTTTCTATATAGAGAAATTCATCAGATTTGAAAATAAACTGTGTCAACAAAACAAGAGTCGTTTTCTCTTTTCTTTAAAAAGTCAATTTTTTTTATTTTGAAAAAAAAAACATTTTTCGGGTTAAATAGTAAAAATTCGGAAGAAATCCTCTCTCTATTTATTCTTGTAACAGCGTCGGGCGAGAGGAGGAGGTGACTTTTTCTTCTTCTTATTCGTCAAGGTTTGTTTCGATTTTTCTTCTCTGAATCTTTCCGTTCAGTTGAATCCTTTTTGGTTTTGCTATTGTGTCGACCTGTTCGAAAGGTTAGCCTGGTAGAGAGATCTATCGTCTACTTGTAGAATTGGATTTTGGCTATTTTTGATTCTCTCAATTTCTCTAATATCTTTTCGATTTTAATAATTAGATTTGTGTTTATATATATATATATATATATCTATTTTGATTCTAAAGAATGAAACCCTAATTTATCCTAAGATTCCATCGAGAAAAAAGACACGCCCTATGATGATTATTCACTCTGTTCTGTTGGTCAATCTTGTTTAAAGGTTAGAGCTTTTCTAATGGTTCCAAGAAATAAAAGGACATTTCTTTTTGTCGGTTACAATCATTTTGGAACCATTTGAGTTAAGATTTGTAATGCCTTCCTTTGAATCAGTTAGGCTTCACTCTGTTCCATGTGTTGTGTTGTGTTTGCGACTTCTCAGCTTTCTTTCCATTTCACTTGATTCGTATTTGTTAGCATTTTTATTTAGCCTTCTATCTTCTTGTTCCTTGTGAGATGTTTGCTATACAGAGTATTAGAACAGAGCAAACAAGTCTTTAGCAGCTAAGAATCTTATCATTCTTTCTTTTTTTCTTTTTTTCTTTGCTAGCAGCAGCGCAGGATATCATAAGCTATATTTTAAAGCCATGAGCACAGTGACCAGGCCTTCTTCTTCTTCTACAGCCACTGTCATCTTAGAAAACCCTGTTTCTCAGTCACAGCCGACTGAAAGATTAGTGCTTCGGCTTAACAGGATAAAGAAGAAAGTCTCGTGGAAAGAAGGGACTGTTGATAACGAGTTCATGCAGAAGAAGAGTTCCAAGAAATGTTGTATCTTTCACAAACAGAAGCCTTTTGATGAGGATGACAGCGAAGATGATGAGGATGAAGATAACCATCACCATGATCATAACCATGAACATTGTGAGTCTGGTGAGGCCTCTTCGTCTAACGATTCTAAGGCAGTTGACTAATCGATTGAGGTTATTTACATCATGATTTAGATATATTTGAAATAGATCATGGAAGAACACTGAATTCGTCTGAGTTTTTTTTTGTTTTTTCATGATCTTCTCCTTCTCCTACCAAAGACAGTTACACTGGTTGGGCTTTAGTAGTATATGTACATGTAATTTTGCACATTGTTAATGATATTGCAACTTTGATTTTAACAAAGCTGTATTGACAATTATGTGACATCATCTTTTAAAAAATGCACTAATATCTCTTGATTATAATTTTTACCAAGGTTTCTTCTTAATGTATGAATGGAACTTAAAATGCAAACAAATTCATAAAGTTTCAAGTTACTAAGGAAATAATGGGGGGAAAAAATAAACTGGTTTTACTTTATAAATATTTTACTGTATATTCAAAGGGTCCAAACACCAAAGCAAACAACATGCAATTCATAAACACACTGTAAACTCAAAAAATGCACACTAAGTAAACTTTTTATACCTAAATCCCCAAACAAACAGAAAACAAGTATTGCATAGTCACAACAATACTGTACAGCACACATCATATTCTGTCTTTTTTCTTTTCTAACCCCAAAGTCTTGCAACCAACGTTGCTGCTAGCTCTTGCCATTGGCTTTTGGCTGAAAGATTTGCACCAGAGACCATAAAATGTCCATCCTCTGCATTACTTTGTTGTTTTGGCTCTGCCATTTTCACATGAACATCTCCATATTAGTCAATCAGTAAATCCAATGTTCAAGCAAAACCCAAGAGAAAAAGTTTTATTTTATTTTCATCAAGTGGATATCATTTTGACTCATACCTCAACTACAAAGCATATCCATGTTTTGTCCCCCTGGGCCTCTGTGACGCCTCTTAGAATGATGAGGTCCAAGCTCCTGATCACATTTGCTATCTCAAGAAAATGGCTACATTCTTCACATAACATCTGTTCAAAACCCCCCAAACATTTTAAATCAAAGGACTTCAAACTTGGGACTGAAGTTTAAACAAAGACTAACCTAAAGGAAGGAAAGAAAGATTACATACCTCGATAAGCACCATCCCCTGCTTGTTTAGATTCTCAACGATAATCGAGCACACTTGAAGATGGCCTCCAACTTCCACTGCGCAGGTTGAACCTTGTGTGCCAGCTTCCTTTTGTTGCATCTGAGATTACAAAGTGTTATTTATATATACTGATCTATCTTCTCATTAAGAGATTCAAAAAATTGGAACAATATTTGCTACATCAATCAGTTCAAACATAATAGCCTAATATGTCCATTTCTAAGACAGATCAGACATTATTAGTATAAATAAATCTATATTTTTACCTTTGTAGTAGCACTTTTACTCAGCTTGTCAGCATGCTTAGTAACATTCTGCAAAAAGAGCATGTGCTTGATCGTGCGTTCTAGCAAAGAATCAATACTGCACTGTAAATCATGACAAAATGATTAGCAAATAGTAAAAACACTGGCAACTAAAAATATAATTAGCAACTTAAAACGCTAAACCCTACAACGGTGCAAGTAAACTTGAAGACTAGAAAGAGAAAAGTTCACCTTAGATCCATTAGGCACAAGTTCTCTAAGTTCCTTGATTCGATCCTGAATGAGTTGCCTGTCTCTTGGTCGAGGCCTAGAACTTTCACCAGGCTTAGCCCTCTTTTTGTTCTTCTTTGGCATCTCCAGGGATGTTTGAAACTGATCACTAGATGAGCTGGGACACGTGGATGAAAACCCAATGGAAGAAAATGCTCCACAGATATCTGACGGATTCTGTTGAGTATCCACCTCTGCTAGTAGCAGCTGATTCATAGAACTACCAATGGGGTTAACAATACTGTGCATCTTTTGACCTGAAGGCTCTGCCATGCTGGTAAGCAATGACTGTACCGATCTGCTAGATAAGATATCATCCCTTGCATTGCCATCGCTATGACACACATTAGCAACCACAGCATCTAGAAGATTCTCAGGGCCAGGGTCAAATGTAAGCTGGCTATGACTCATACCATCTGTTGGTCTTGTTGTTGAACCATTTTCTGACTTCACTAGATCCTCATGACCCCTGCTCGTTCGCTTGAAACCAGCGCCTAATGCTTCCAGCAGCTCGCTGCCAGCAAATGGATACCCAGATGATAGCAAAGCATCCAGTCGACTTGATGACTCGCATTTCCCCTCTAGCAAACGCTCACCCTCTTCTATGTATCTATTTCCCTGGTTCTCAGATAGTTGGAACACTTCATTTTGGAAAGAACTTTCTTTACCTGTTCTTGATGAATCATAAAGAGTTGAGTCCAGGTCTGGATATGATTGGCCTGATATCAATCTTTCAGCCTCAGTTGCCGTATTATTGAGCACATCATTCTTCACATACTGATGTAGATGAGAATCTTTGCATCTACTAGTCATCCCCACATGAGGTGCATCACTGACTATATTAGTACCTACTTGATTCTCATGTTTGGCATCAACCAAATCAATTGGAAAGCCAAACGTAACACTGCTATAGCTCCCACAAGAAGATCCTTGCACAATTTGGGCTGCCTTCTCCATGAGACATGAAGGAGTATTATAAGGCATGCTATCACTTCTTCTAAGTTTATATTGAGTTGGAATATTTGACTCTTCCACATCCATAGCTTTGCCAACTTCTCCAGAGCAATTAGGTAAAGCCTCAACATGTAAACATTCAGATGGTATTTTTGGCTGCAACAAGAAATAATACAACACATCATGTGAGGATGACTAGCGGATGTAAAGATCTAAGAGGATTAGTTGAGGAATTATCTGGACAAACGCAAATCCATATTTTGTATGAAGAAGATCTTTACCGGACACAACGAATTGTTCATATTACATTGCACTAAATTTGCTGCATGATCTGCCAGTGGATCCTTCAGTGCCAAAAACATATGTCGGATATGACTCACCAATGTCACATCTTCATCCACCTGCTCCACACAAGCACACAATAAGACCAGATGCTAACACTCTGCATCCAATTATATGAGCTTACTTACTTTACGCAAAGAGCCTAGCTGAATAACACCACAGGGACCAACAGCTACTACAAGAATGGTCTGCAACGAAATTAAATAACAAATGTTTTTATAGGAAGTGGGAAACTTTGAGAAAGTCATTGACATTCATGTAATAGAGCAGACAAAAGTAGGACTTAAGAAAAATCTCAAATACCTTAACTCCAGCAGATAATTGACTCTCCCAAACGTTATGAAACTGTAATTATAACAAGAAATGTCGTTTGAAAACATGAAAAATAAACGGAAAAATTAACTCAGAGATAAGAAGTTCCTAACCTCAGATGCTGAGTGGCAGTTGCCATTATATTCAGGGAATACCCATTGATGTCCTCCAGAAACCGCAACTTGTCCTACAATCCTGTTAATATAAACATCATTGAGTAAAATGATTCAACAAGAACCACAATTTTTTGTAACTAATAGTAAAAGCTCCTGCTGCCTTTTAAGTCTCAAGACAAGAAAAAAGCTTTGCTTCATGTAGCTAATGTCATGGAAACAAAGAATATAAACACACACACACACAGCAAACTATAACAGCCTAATGCCAGACTAAGCCATACACTACTGAGCTAAAGACGCCCAGTATTCCAAAGACAACCATGAAAGCCTAGTTGAAAAGATGAAGTCCAGCAATTTGTTCTTACCCTTCCCCTAGAGAATAGACATGATAAGCCATCTTCGCCACAGCTAAACCCAGGGGGTCATGTGCTCCATGCATGTCTTTTGGTATAACGCTGCAACCCTGAACATCCTGTGAGTTATTGTGCCCATGAATGTCATAGTAAGCATCCTCCAAGGTAAGTACCCTGCAAGTGTCCAATAGTCTCTAAAAATCAGAAGCCACCCTGGTCAACTAAACTAGGTCGTTTAGTTGAATGTCTACTTAATCTTCATGTAAAGACTGATTCTAGCACAAACACCTATATAGAAGCATTACTTTCACATGCTATTAGTAACTATATAACTCTTCCAAAACGCTTGTATAAGGTTGCATTCGATAAAAGGTTCCACAAGTTCTCCCACACTAACTAGCTGGAGGTACATCTCAATATCAACTATAGATCTCTTAAACATCTACATAGGAAGCATTACTTCACAGGCTATTAGTAACCTTTATTAAGTCTTCCAAAAGATTAAGAAGACACTTGAACTACACTTGTATAAGGCTGCATTCCATATAAGATTCCATATGTTCTCACACACTAGCGAGATGGAGGTACATCTTAACACTAGCTATACGTCCAAATCAACTATCAACTATCACACTATAATGGTCCACCAAGCAAAGACAGTAGATACTAGTTAGACAACTCACATTCGAGAACGATGATTAAGTTTCCAGAACACAGCATATCTCCACTCCGTGTTAAAGCAAAGGCTCCTCAATATCTCTTGAGAGGTAGCACCCATTCTCTAAATTGGCCGACTCAAGAAACCAAGAGAGGACAGAGATGAGAACTCTCCGGAAATGAAAAAAAAAAAAAAACACACAAACCCTTTCCCCTTTGATTCTTTTGTAAGTTCGACAAAAACAACAACAACAAAAAAAAAAAACCCTTGTCTACACTTTTTTGTCCCCAAAAAAGAAACCTTTTTTTTTCCGACCAACGATGAGAAACAAAGTAACTAACTTCCTCTGTAAGAACCTCTACCAGCTTGTTCCCTTCGCAATCCAGCTCTTGGGTTTATCGGTGGACCTACTTCATCCTGTGATATTTGCCTTCTACCCATCCCTTTCCCAAACAAAACACTTTAACAGGACCACGAACAATCCCAGAAAGGAAACTAATTTAAAACAACCCTAGCTCAGATAATCAGGACTTGAAGTAGCTTCTAGATCCGTTGTATTGAGCTGCCATATGAAATTCAAAAGCTAAAAGAAGACGACTTTATGTGGAAAAGAAAGCAGATAGACAGAGAGAGAGAGAGACAGAGATTGTAAGAAGAGAGTTTAGCTTATGTCGGAAGACATTTGGTTCTTGTCAATAACTGAACTCAGCATCACTCAGAAAAGACAAAAGAAACTTACAACCTCAGCCGAGAAACTCGCCGGAAAAATTAAACAACAGAGAAGAGAGTAAAGGAGAGAGAGGTAGTGAAAAGACGGTTCCTTTTTTAAAGAGTGAAGAAGAAGAAGTCAGGCAAGTAAGAAGCGGGGTAATCACGCACCATGCTCATTTTAGCTACAAGTGTGCGCATGTTAGTTAGTGAGGTAGTGGGAGGTGTGTGTCTTTGTGTGTTTGAGGCTGAGGGGATGAGAGATTTTAATGTGGAAAAAACTTTTGAGAGGGGATAGGATCTATAATGGTAATGGCCAGCAAAATGATTTTCTAAGTGAATTTTTGTTTTCTTCTTTTACTTTCTTTATTTACCTTTCAGTTCACCTAAATTTTAACAAAATACATACATTTTTGCATTAGATTTGAAAAATGTATGGATTTTGTATTAGATATACAATATTCATTAATAAATTCAATACAAAAACCTTTTCTTATACAGGAATGATTAAGCAAGAATGTTAAATGTAGTATTTACATAACCTATCATATAGTATCCTTTATATATATTAAAAAAAGATATTTAACATTAATATATTCACATTATATAGTGTTCGTCATGTGATAGTCATTATAGTGATTTGAAAATAAATATGCTGATATATTATATGTAAAGATTCTCAGTCAATCAACCTAAAAATGAATCGCTATCAATATTGAATAGGTCTGACATTTTTTAAAAAAAATAATGAAACTAATGAATAGGTCTGACATTTTTTAAAAAAAATAATGAAACTAATAATCTCATCCACATAAAACGTGGATTATTTGTGGTAATTTGTATTAAAATTTCATTAATTTGCAGAATCAATAAAATAAAAATGCGCAAATCAGAAATATTTAGACACAAAAACATTGATAAAATTAGTGGTTTGGTTTATAAATAATATATTATAATTGAAATTATGTTATTTATAAACTAAAAGTAAAAGAATTTTAAAACTAGACGAGAGGAAACGTGGAATTTGTGGATTAGTGGATATTCAGCTTTTGTAAATAAATGATTTCATTTGCCAATATAAAGTTGAAACATATGTGAGCTTTATAACTTGTCCATACATATTCTCACATTATGATTGAACATATCTCTCCTTTTATTTCCCTTTTTGTATTGTCAACAAAAACCTAATGCCTTTTTCATACTCACTCATTTTGTCTTGCTTACCATAATAATCTCTGGACAAAGGAAAATAGCCATTGAATCATCAAAGTGTTGTCCTATGTTATTTTTGATTGCTGGTCCATTATTATATAAACCAAAATTACATTTCATATATTTGCGTCAAAACATTATAACCACCTTTGAATTGAATGTCAATTTTTATTATGTTTGTAAGGTTTATAAAATGTAAACGCAGGTTAACAACAGAGAACACCCATGCTTAGAGTAGGATGTTTGATCAGATTAAACTAACTAGCTAGTCGAATTTAGCATCAAATCGAGAACAAACTGATTCAGAAAGCAAGTAATGTATTAATCGTCTGACTATAATATTATTTTGTTTGTCCTCCAACTCTCTAAGCACCAAGACCAATTGACCAAACCAAACTGAAACATATATAGGAAATAAAGATATATATATATATATATATTATATTTTTGAACTGAAGATATATATAGTTGAATGAACAAAAAGCAAACTGGAATTGTATCAAACCCGTTAATATTCGATTCAATTTTAGATTGACCCTATTCTTCTGAAGCCGGGAAAGGATCAAGCAAAACCAAATCTAAAAATTGAATACCTTTATAATATTCAAATTTGCTTGAGCTAATTTATTGAAAGTTTATGAGCACTTCTAGAAGAAAATGATTATACAGTTCGAAATGATCGCCTGAAACAGTTTCTAGTACAAGGTCATTTTACTAGACAGTAACATTCCCCATATGAAGAAAATCTTTGTGTTTTATCAGAAAAAAATGTGAAAAAAAACTTTGTAGCCTTAGTTTAAAGAAAAAGTACTTTGTATATTGCAATTTGTAAGTGTTGTTTTGTCGACCATTCCATAAGTTCATGAAGAATCCAAGCGTTGAGCGTATTCTGAAATGTAATTATAATCTGATTTTGAGTTCCACTTGGAAACTAAAATGATGATGTTCTACTATTGATTGCTCATTATAGTGTATCTAGAGGGGCTCTTATTATATGCTCTCATGACATGTTTCCATCAATGTGTTCTAATGCATCGCACCAACTCAACATCCCTTTCTCCCTTTCCATCATTTTATCTTTTACTGCTTTACCTCAAATTCAATCCAGCACACATATTTATATATATTATACATCCATCATTTTAATCATTATTTTCACATCTTATTTAATTAGTCAAATTATATGTCAAATATAAAATTTGCTACATTGTATAACAATTTATAAAATTTACATCACTAGTTATATCACATATATATATACAGATTTATTTTTAAATATGAATGTTTTAATAAAATATTCATGCAATCATTATAACTACTAAAAGGTTATTTGGTTTTTATGTTACTGTAAATGCAGTGTTTGTGAGTGATACTGATAACAATTGTTAGCATTTGATAACAATCACGAGTTTTTACAATATTTCACATTGTATTTTGCAAACTTTCGCATCCATGTCTATTACGTTTAAAATCAAGTAGATCTTAATATTTTCTTATGTATCTTATACGTAACAAAAATATTCCTGCCATTTTTAACAAAATATTCCTGCTATAGCCTATGATCATGAAAAAGAACTAGGTGCACTTTTGTTGGGCTATTCATCAATTTACATTCCACCGAACACTATATTAGTTGATTTTATATGTTTCTGAAAGTTGGCATTAATTAGATCAAGCATGCCTGTGTCTAAATTGTTTCTATTATCTTGTAAAGCAAAAAGAACTTTTGATAATAATGTTTAATAGACAACGACCGTTTGATGATGAGTTGGTCCGTAATCGATAAGCCATGCAAGATCCCATCTGGTCAACTGCTAAGTTTAATATTTGTTTACATGATCCAACGTTTCCAAGTCGTTGTTACTTTAAACTGAAGGATTTTATTAGAAACCATATCTATTTTGGCATAGATTATACTTATACATTGGTCCTTGGTCTAGTATACAAAAACACACATGACGAAAATTCTTAACGTACAAATGAAAAGGAATATCGAATTTAGCACCAAAAAAGTATTGAATAATTTTAAATAATATCGATTAACAACTAGTTCCAGATCAGCAATTAATCCAAGTTCGTTAGACATATAAATTATTGTACGTACGTATTACAAAAGAATGCATTGACGAAGTATGTCTTCGACGATTAATCTAATTAAATGTGATGACGTAATGTAAGCAAGTGTAATTTTTTCTTAATACATAAAACGAACAATTTGTTTTTTTGTAGAAAGTTGTTTGACATGTCTTCCACTTTCAATGCATAGATCTTTCCTAATTAACGTCTCCAGAAGAAAAGAAACTTAAAATTTAACCACACGAGTTAGTATGGTGGTAAACGGCATGCAGTTGTAGGTACGAACATTTGAGTTCAACTTGTTATTGCCACTGTAATTTCACATTCGAAATGCAGCAATACAGATTAATCCTTTGAGTCTGGAAAACCTTTGAAGAAACTGTGTATAAACAAAGAAAAAAAAAAAAAACTTAAAATTTCTGCAGTAATATTATGGTAAGGTCTCCACAAACGCAAAAGAACTTAAGGTGTTCATATTCTTTGTACCAGGAAGAAAATAAACGAATCTTACAAATAGAGGCAAATGGAATCGAAACTTAGGGCTTTGAAGTTTCTCCAAAAAGGGAACTGGGTCAGATATTGCTTAACAAAGTGGCAAAGGTCTATTTCTTGTTTTTTATTTCTTCTTTTTTTCTGACATAAAATATTTTTAATGTTAGTTTATTACTTATTCGAGAAAGGCTCCTTCAAAGAGAAAAATAAGAAAACTGAATGTATGATGGAACTAGTTGTGGTCCATACAAGATCTAAGGAATCTAATGATTATTGTCCTTATAAAGAAAAAAGAAATCTCACTCAATCTCTCTCTCTATACAAGTTCCATTTCTTCTTCTCCTCCTTTCTTCTTCTGACATTTGTTTGATTTGGGGCCTTGGGGGCTCATTGACCCTCAAACTTTAAAACCTAATTTTCCAAGTGATATCATCCATGTCTTTTGTATGTATTATTAGTATGGCTCTCTTTTTTTAAGTTCATGTTTCGTTTGTATTTCACTTATTTAATATATATGATTGAATATTTATTGTATTATGTTAATCATGTGTAGTAGTGATGGCACTGGGCATAGTAGTGATGGCACTGGACAAAGTAAAGTGGAGCTTTGTAATGAATAAAATGAGTATAGTCAATAAAGATAACCGGCCTCTAGTTGCTAATAGTGAAGATAGCTTGTATTATATAGTTGCTAATTTAGAACTCAAGTGATATAAAAATTCCCATGGGAGAGAAAAGTAATATAACTTCCAATTCTCTATATATATTATGTTTCTTATTTGCAATTAGTCAACTCCTCCGATTGTATAAAACTTAAAATATTTTTGCATGAGTATTGTTTTATTTTTTGCTTAACTTTTTAATTTTAAGTAAAACAAATAAAGTTTGCATGAGTATTGCTACAAAATTGCATGAGTATTGTTACAAAGTTATCGCGTTAAACCAATAATCTCCCAGGCGTGTACACCATAAACGACATGCAGCCTATTTCTCTAATATCAGTACAAAAATAAGTAATTTGGTTGACCATCTTAGATATGAGCCATTTTCATTATGACATAGTATTATCTATATTATATGTTTCTATTCTTGAGTTTTATGTTTGTAATCAACTGAAGAACTTTTTTTTTTCTGTTTTGTGTTTATAGCTATGCTTCACCAAATTTAAACTTTGGAAATGGAGGGTTGAAGAATTTGTTCTTTCTAAATGGTGTATTAGGAGATGGCTTTAAAAGACATGAAATAATTGTAATGGAGCCACTCCGTTTACATACATGATACATCCCAAATCTGGAAAGCCTCGTATGGTTTTGGCGTGACTAGCTTAGCGTTCTGAGTTTTAAGAAGAAAAGATTAATGAATCCAAAGTAAATACAATGGAGTTTTGAGTTTTACTTTGAAGATTAAAGGGTAATGTCAATGATGCACAAGAAAACGAGTTAACCTAAATGTGAGATCTGTTAAATAGAGTACTTTGTTTTCAACCCCTTTTTACTACACAATCACTTAAACTACACTTGTGGGCACTTAAGTTGTCCTAAAAATAATCTCAAGGGCACGATGTAGCCACAGCTTTCTTGTTCTCTTGTTCTAGTTGCGACCGGATTGTTTGTGGAGATGCCAATTTGTTTATGCTGCAATATAAAACATGTTTAAAATAAACAATCGAAACAAGTTCGTAACTCTTATATATATGCATATGCGTATGAATGTTAGACTCACCATACTAGTAAATCTCCACTTGATGATCTTTTCTCAGAAATCCATTCAGGTACAAGCTCTTGCATTAACATAAGTTGTTCTTCAACTTCTTCTGCAAAAGTGTAAGTGAATACAAAAAAACAAGCGGTTAGGACATTTCTTAAAACGCTTGTAAAGAAAACATTTGTTTGAGATGTTTACTTCTGTCGGTAATATCAGAATGACCAGCGATGATCTTGTGCACAAGCTCTTCTTTTGTGATAATCCAACGCCTTATTGATTGAATCAAGTAATGAATGACATTGAAAAGTTTAGGCAGACAAGCAACCATCTTTCGCCTTCTCTTTGCCTCTGAGATTGCTGGATTTGATTCCTCCATAGCTTTCCTCTCTTGCTCTTTAATCTGAAAATTAGCAAAGACAAGATTAGCTATCTATCTCTCAATAAACAAAGCCAATATCTTAATCTCAAACTGCTAACAAGCAAAATGTAATACCGATTGTCTAAGTTCATCAGGAAGTATGCTGAGGATTTCATCATCGCTGGATGCATCTTCCTCTGGTACTTGATCAATATCTGTCACATCCATATCTTTCTTGTCCTCTGTATAAGAATCAAAGTTCAGTGACTTTGATGAGCTTAGTAAAGACCGCCGCGCGAGCTTAACCGGTCGATCAGTAGGAACATCATCTGAATTTGTATCACCGCTACTTCTTTTCTGCAGATAAGCTTCACTGAAGAGTCGGGCAGGAGTTGAAGCGAGTTCAGGTGGTGTTGAAGCAACAATAACTGGTGTGGACTCCATCTTAGCCGGCGTTGAAAGTACATTAGCTGGAGTTAAAGCCAAGTTAACCTTAGACAATTTTGGTGCTACGTTAACCTGAGGTTCAGCAGGACTTGGAGGGACATTCACGAAAGATGAAATCAGTTTAGCTGCTGGAATAAAAGCCATCTCCTCCATTACAGAACTACCTCTCCTAACCTCAACCTTTGAATCTTTCCTTCTATTGAACAGCTCTGGAAGCTGTTCCTCTGGAACTTCATCACCCTAAAGAAACCCAATCAGTACCTTATCAAAACCACTTAATGCAACTTCCAAAAACCATTAAAAAAAATCACTTTTCTTCTCATCACAGTACCTGAGGATGAGCCTTAACAAAACCTGCAAGCCTTTCCCTGAACACTCTCCTCAACGATATCTTCTTCTTGCTTTCTGATCTCAACTTCTCACCTTCCTCAACAGCATCAGCGTTGAGAGTAACATGAAGATCTGGTTTCATACAGCAAGTTGCTTCATCATGAACCAATACTCTCTTAATCTCAATACCCTCTGGTAATATATGCTTTAACTGAGCCAAGTGACTATAGCAAAACCTCCTGAATTATAAAATATATAACAATCAGTGAGCCTGAGCATGACACGTATGATCTTTTTTTTTGTCATATGACACGTATATGATCTAAAACCTAATTTTTTTCCAGGAAAAAACACCTTTCCGTCAAACGCTCGATTTTCCCGGAAACGTTGGAGAATGTAGGTTTAGAGCCTCGTAATCTCGATAACAGAATCGAACTATCAAACGCATCGAAGAGCCTTCCCAGAGCTTCGTACCTGTAGAAATTTAGATCTCATTAGTCAAAAAACCGTTGAGAAAACCCTAAGAGTGGGGCTTTAAAAACTTACTTCTCCGGGAGCTTCTCATGATCGGAAGAGGAGGAATCGTTAGATGAGAACACGAGCTGACGCCTTGCGGTTGAGACCTTATCCAACGAATCTTCGGATTTACGACGAGATCTAGCGGCTTTTCGAATCTCTTTTATGGATTGGTTGCTGGATCTGGTGAGCGGCTTCTCCGGCGTGTGTAAAGGTAGGGATGATGATGATGAATTAGGGTTTTTGGTTGAAGGCGGATCGAATAGTCGTTTCTTCGATTTGAAGGGGATTGATTTAGAAGGTCCTGGTGAAGTCATTGCTCCGGCGAAGTTAGTTACGGAGAGGAGAGAGAGAGAGAGAAGAGGCACGGTGTGCTTCCCGCCAAAGTTATGTCGTTCCTTCCCGCGAGATTGTCTCACTAGGTAAAAAAGCCCATTAGGCCCATTACATGAAGAAGGTATGGCGCGAAAAGGAGAGATAAGAGCCACGTGTGACTCCCGCGACCAATTATATATCACCGAGGTGAAGTCCATTAGGCCCAAAAACACCAACCTCGTAAGTCGTAACTTGGGAATGGATCTAGATGCAGGCTGCATCAAGCAACAACCGAAAATCTAAACTAGAACCGACCAGAAAATACACTAAACCAAATAAATTTTTTATAAATATTTATTGGATCCAAAAATTTACTACCAATAGTCAAAATTGAAAGGAATCAAACCGAAAAAACCTGGACATGAAAAAAACCCGATGACTCGATAAAAACCGATTCATACCTAACTTAAGAACGTAAATATTAAACATTATGATATTTTGTGTATTTATTTTCAATATTTTATTTTATGATTTAGTTGAAATATCTATTATTAACAATCTTTATCATTGTTTTTATAGCATTTTCAAGTATTATGAAGTTTTAAATGTACAGTTTAAAGTTTAAAAATTATTTTATTATAATTATTAATAGTTTGTTTTAAGTTATTTTGTAAATTTTAGATATATAGACTTTGATTAGATTTGATGGAGTTTGAATATTTTGTATCATTTTTAGATTTTAAATATTCGAAGCTGATACAAACTTGACATGGGTTCCAAAATTATAACTATTTTATAGATATTTTAATTATAGATCCGAACCGATCTCATTCTGAAAAATAATCGACATAAATTCAAAGCAAAAATTTACAAATATTTATTAGATATAAATGTCTAAGATCCGAAGGATCTACAACTCATAAGAAACCGATCCGAATTCCTATTCCTACTAATTAGTCTCTATAAAGATCTGATATTCCTCTTTAATTATCAAAAAGAAAAAGAAGTGATTTTCCTTTTTATCCTTTATATACTAAAGCACAAGTCACTTGATCAATTAGATTTTGACAAATGGAATATGCTTTACAAATAAAAAAAAAATTAAAATTGCAAAAACATTTAAATGCAAAAAAACTGTTTCGTGTTTTCTTTTTTTTTTCTATAAAATAAAACTTCACAATATTTCCCACAATGTACCCATGATCCCACGATCCTAAAAACTGCTAATCTTTTAGATTAAATTTAACTCAGAATGCGATCTATTTAGATTCATTTCTTGCATACAGAAATTGTAATTTCTTAAATTCTTTGCAACATTCCGTTAAATCTTTCTAAAAATTTGACTTCAAACTAGACAGTTCTAATGATGAAACCGTTTGCAGTTCCGGATTCAAATCGCAATATAGTTTTTGGTCAAACTTGAACCACAATAATCTTCAAAAGAATCTTTCAATGAAACAAGAAAATACCGCGGGGTTATGGACTGCCAGTGGCGAAGTCAGGACTCAGAAGATGAAGCTTAAAAGTCCAGGCCAGGTAAATGAAAAATAAAAACGCATAAACGCTTTATGCTCAATAACTTTTTTTCACGAACCTTTTTTCTTCTACTTAAATATAATTTTTTCCTGCATTTCTAAACATTTTTCAAAGCTATATACTGCATGGTAAAGAATGAAAAGATAAACAAAATATGTCAATATATTGTTGTTTTGTGTTACAAAAAAAAAATGTCAAAAACATAATTAAAAAGGAATAATCAACTGTCGATTTGTTGGAATGAGTTTATTTGTTATCGTGGTGATATTTCAGGAAAAGAGATTAAGATGGTGTCAACTTAAAACGCACGTACAAAGCTCCTAAAATGCAAAACCACCACAAGAAGAAAAGAAAAAGAAAAGAAAAGAAAAGAGAAGAAAAAGGGGGAAACATGGAGATAGAAGGCAACAAATGAAGTCTAAGAAACTCAGGGGCTAGAGGAAACAAAAAGATTCATGGTTAGAGAAAACAAAAAGATCAAGATCTAACTTGATAGTAAGATTCCTTACTTCTTTTTGTGTGCTTATAATTTATAGACATTTTGTGATATTATTTTTGTTTAATTTCAGAGCGAATATTTATTTATACTACAATATATGCTAATGTCAATTATCTACCAAATTAAGGCTATTATTTTAACTGTACTTATGCAAGAGACATGCTTTCCCTCAATCTTTTTTTTTTTCATATGCAATGTTTTTTCCTGGTTTTCGGAGAAAGATTAAATATAAAACCTTCATCTTGGACAATTGTATGATCTAAAGAGTTTTTTTTTCTAATTTTATCGACAAATATAACCATGAAAATAATATTATTTTCATCATAAATTATATCTTAGAAATTATTCATTTCCATTGTAAATTGAAAAAATTATAATGCCCGTGCTTATGCACGGGAGATAACTAGTTTGTTATAAACTAAGTAAACTTTGGGGGTGTAAAAAGAAGGAAGAAGAGAAGAAAAGAGGGACTCGTCGTGATCACGTTTCTTTGGTTAAAAGAGTATCTCCAAGAAGAAGGAAGCCCAAATCGAAATTAAGTAAAGTCCTCCAAGCATAAAGGATCATTATTTTATCACTCCTCTTTTCTTCCACGCAAACCCAATTCCCTTCTCTTCTTCTTCTCCTTCGACCAATTCGATTTAACCCAAATTCTCTTCTTCTTCATTGAAATTTCCACCGCCTCAAGGACAGAACAAGCCCTGTTGGATTCTCTTATAGCTGAACTTCGCTTTCACGTCTTCCTCTCTCCTCTTCCCTTTGTGGGTCGCTCCAAAGGTTTGATCTTTTTTTTTGTTTCTAGTCATCGATGATAAAGTTTTGATTTTTATTCTTCTTTGAGAGGAAATTAGTTCGTGGGTTTTGAGGGGTTTATCCTGTTTGCTTATGGGTTTTGGGCGTTGAGATTGTATCGCTGTGTAAAAGTAGAAAACTTTCTTCTTTTGGTGTAAGGGAATTGAGTTTGACGTGGATTGTATCGCCGTCTCAATTGTGTATAGATTAGTTACTCTCTAGTCTGTGCTTTACTGTTTATTTAATTGCATCTTTCCAGTGCAACAAGGCTTGTGTTCAAATTAGAAAGTAAGTTTTTGGATTGAATAGTAATCTGTATAGTATCTATTGTCGTAGTAAACAGTTTAAAAACATGTCTTTAGCAAGTTATGCATCAAGTTCCTCTATCTTTGATTTGCCTATGTGTCTCAAGTTGTCTCCCGCATGTCTCTGATCAAGAATACTTTTATCCATTCAATGTTTGATGCAGGTTTTATTGCTGCATTCACCATCAAGTCATAGAATCTTCAGGTGGTAAAGTGGGGAATGGACTGGCTCTGTTGGTCAATCGTCCGTCTTTACGAATGATGAGTGGGGGACCAAAACCTCCAAATGTATTCAACTTTTTTAAATGGCAACGTGGTGAACCCTCCTCGTCTTTAACCACTGGATTACTCGATAATGCGTCGCACGAGATTGAGCTATCTAACTACGGGGGAGTACCAAGCCCTGGTAGCGAGAGCCCGTCTGGGCTTCTTAATGGAGAGAGCTTAAATGTTCAACCAATCGCTGATTTGGATCTTTTCTTCGAGAAGCTTTATAGTTACTATAGGGACAAGGGACTTTGGTGTATTATCGTTAAGTGGGCTGTTGAGCTTCTGAGTCTTGGCTTCATTATCTGCTTCTCTGGGTTTTTCTTGTTGTATGTGGATTGGCATGGTCTTCAGAATGCAAAATGTGGGATGGATGCAGTTGAATCGGGAACTAAGCCATGTGATCTTGTTAAAGAAGCTATCCATGAGCACCCTCTTTCCCCTTTCACGCTCACAACGGCTATTATTGTTGGATACTTGGCACTCTTCTCTGTGTACTGGCTCTTCTGCTTCTTAAGGTTCTTTGCTCAGTTGAAGGATACTTTGGACTTCCGGCACTTTTACTACAACAGGTAAGTTAGAAGAGGCAACATCCTATAAATAGTTAGACTAGGCCGTAACCTTTATTCTCATTGTGTTTGTAAATTTGCAGCCTCCGTGTGACGGACAATGAAATCCTGACTATGCCATGGGAAACAGTCCTTGAGAAGGTTGTTCAGTTACAGAGCTCACAACGTCTTTGTGTTGTTAAGGATCTTTCAGCTCATGATATTGTTATGCGTCTTATGCGGAAAGAAAACTACTTGATTGGGATACTCAACAAAGGTCTGCTTTCTTTCCCGATTTGCCATTGGATCCCTGGTGCTGGTCCATTAGTCAAAACTGCCTCTGATGGGACACAACATCATCTTGTGTTGACAAAGACCCTTGAGTGGACCCTGAACTGGTGCATATTGCAGAGCATGTTTGACTGGTATGCTATTCTCCACGTTAATCTCTGATCAAATCTTTAATCTGCTTTCAAGTAACATTGTAGATATAGGATTTTTGAGCTATTAGATTTCATATTTGTATGTGTCTCCTCAATGGCCTAACGACTTACCTTGAAAAGTAATGGCATGGAATGAGAAAGTCCTTCCTCATGCTGAGTATTGTCCGTTTTTTCTAATCCAGGCGTTTTCATTCTGCAGCAATTTTCGTGTTAAAAGGGAGTTTGTATCAGATCCTACAGCACTGAAGAAACGGTTATTTGTGGTTGGGATTGCTATGCTTCTGCTGTCACCATTTCTTGTTATCTTCATGTTGGTGTATCTCTTCCTAAGGCATGCTGAACAGTTTTACAATCATCCAAGTACTGCATCTTCTAGAAGATGGTCCAATTTGTCTAGATGGCTCTTCAGGGAGTTCAATGAGGTAGTTACCTTTATCTGGCCTTCATAAATATATATATATATATATCAGTGTTGCCTTCTCTAATCTGTTTGTTTCTGCAACAGGTTGACCATTTGTTCAAGCATAGGATTAACAGCAGTGCAGAACACGCTTCCGAATATCTGAATCAATTCCCCTCACCTATTATCTCCATTATTGCAAAGTTCGTCTCGTTTGTGTCTGGCGGCTTTGCGGCGGTGTTAATCATCATTGCGTTTCTCGAAGAATCTCTTCTAGAGGGCCATGTAAGAAAACCCTCACGACACAAAAGGGTATTTAGTAGATACATTGTTGATGTGTGTTTTGACCACTTGTGTAGATATTCGGTCGCAATTTGTTCTGGTATGCTGCTGTGTTTGGAACTATTACAGCCATTAGCCGAGCTGCTATTTCGGATGAACTTTTGGTCCTCGACCCCGTTGGAACTATGGCTGCGGTTGTGCAGCACACTCACTATATGCCTAAAAGATGGCGTGGTAAGGAAAACAAAGATGATGTCCGTTTGGAGTTAGAGACTCTGTTTCAGGTACTATGTTAAACATGATCTTGTGTCCTTTCTTGCTTTGTCGATAAATGATTCTTTAATGAAAGGTCACTCATTGCAGTATACTGGAATGATGTTACTGGAGGAGATAGCTTCGATTTTCATAACACCGTTTTTACTGATGTTTGTCGTGCCAAAGGTATAGTAGCATCTCATCACTTGCGTTGGTGTGTATAGAGAAGTTTTAACACATTATGAGTTCACTTTGCAGCGGGTTGATGATATACTGCAATTCATAAGAGATTTCACAGTTGACATTGAAGGTGTAGGCAACGTTTGCAGGTAAAATCCCAATGGTGGCTTCTAAAGAGTTGTTTAATCTTTCCTTGCAAAAACACTTTATAATCTTCTGGCTATTTCGCTTGCAGCTTTAGTGCTTTTGACTTCGAGAACCATGGGAATACTAAGTATGGCTCACCACGTAATGTATCTCGTGAGAAGAGAAGCTCTCAGGGGAAAATGGAGAAGTCATTCTTGAGGTTTGAACCATCATTTTCATTTGAAGTGTTCAGTTTTATTGGCATCTCTCTCTCTGTCAACAATGAAGTGTTTTAATCTGTTTTACAGTTTCCAGAGTAGTTATCCATCTTGGGAATCAGATTCTCTTGGGAAGCAGTTTCTATCCAATCTCAGAACTTTCCGGGACCGAAAGCTTCAAGAAGTAAACACAAGACACAACACATACTCTCCTAGTAGGGCATGGCGAGAAGCTCCTATCCTTCGTCCTGGTCATATAGATAACAACAGCGTTTTATACAGAGACGTTCCAAGGAATCCACGCAATCACGTTGATTCCATGTGGCTGATTGATTCAGATCAGAGGAACCACCCTTATCTTCTTGACTGGTACTACACTTCTCAGCCTCACAACAGAACCAATCATCAGCAGCCAGTAGAGAGAGACAACGAACTCTTGACTCCTAATCTAAACATTGCGGACTGTTGGCCTCCTAACCTGGGAGTCCGTGGTGAAGATATGGAAGCAAGCACATCAGGTCAGTTCTTGGGAGATAGCATTCTGCGCCAGCCCCAAGCTCAAGGAGAAGAAAACTATGGGCATGGTCATCATCCTCTTGATGGTAGGAACCAGTGGTGGGGAAGAGGCGACGGTTCTCACAATGGTGCATCACATCCCGCAACTGCTAATAGCTTCATTGAGCCACCTGATTTCACAAACCCGTTTACAAGGAACTTGTTAGACAACTCATGGCAAGGAGGAAGAAGCATTGAAGAAGAGGAAGAAGAAGATTGGGCAGATGATGCAAGAAGGAACTTGTCAAGAACAACATTCATGGATGGTGATGATGTTGATGACATTGAAGGTGGGATTGATCTCCATTTTGGTGATGTATATAGCTCAAGAACTTCATGAAACTTCAACATCAAGCACTACACTAGGGTGAACAACTATGAATTTTTTTGGATTCAAAGTTGTTTTTTTTCTTTTTTCTTTTAATGGTGATTGATATGGAAAGATAAAAGAGATGCTTGTTAAAAGTTTTCTCTTGGACCTGGAAAAGATGTGGGAATAATATCTTTTTTTTTCTTTTCTTTTTCTATGTTTCAAGCTAACATTTCATGCAATTCTTTATTGTTGTATTATTGTATATAAATGTTTCTTTAATAGTGTTTCCTTAAAAAAAGAAAGAAATGAATTACTGTTCTATTGTCATAAGATTTTAATAATAAATCTTTCAACTAATTTTAATCACAAAATTCCTTTAATTATATTTTTAATATATGAATATCTCATTTTAAGTATTTCATTTTCCTTTATACTGAAACACAATATTTTGGCTCAAGAGAAAAAGAATTACCACCTTTTACAAAAAAGAAAAAAAGAATTACCCTTCTCTTTAATCAAAACGCTGCATTTCTATTCATAATCGATATTTTCGAGTTTATATTTTAAGGTTTCTGTGCTTTAATTTTTTATTCATTACAAAAAAATAAATTTTATGTTTTAATAAAAAGTCATTGTTTATCTATTTCATCAATATTATTAAAGATAATTATGACATAGAATATGATAAATCTCTCAGATAGATCTTTTAAAATTTTTATCACAAAACTTTTTTTATTTTTTAAAATTTGAATCATATTTCCAATACAAAAAAATATAGAATTAGTTAATGCAAATTGTATAAGTGCATTTTTTTTTATAAAACATTTAAATCTGGTTTACTTAATTTTACTTTTAAAGTCTAGATTTGTGACAAAAAAAATTTTAAGTGTATTCTAGAAATTTTTTCATAATCATACAAAGAATTATCTGAGGTTTTATTACTAAATAATTAATAAATTTTACAATTTCGAAAATTAGCCCTTTATTACCAAAACAGTAAAACCCTTAAAAATACTGGTCTTATAGGGTTTTTCATTTTTGTGCTAAAGAGAGGGTTTTTGCGACGCCATTTATCAGATCAGCTCCGCCATGAAAAGTCTCTCCCTTTCTCTACTCCGTCGCCTCCAGTTCCACAAATTCAATCCTATCCAACCTCTCACCCGCCTAAACCCCATCCCCCATGCTTCTCCTTCTCTCCTCTCCTCAACACTCAAAATCTCAACTTTCTCCAAACCCTATCCTTCGACCCTCAACACAAACCACTTCTTTACCAACCCTAACCCTCGAAACCTAACAACCCACGTCGAGTCACCTCCCTCAGACCAAGAAAAACTCGATCTTGAAGAAGCCTTCGAGTCAGCAACCACCACCGACGAAATGATCCGTTTATACAAACAGATGGAGTTATCCTTCCAAGGCAACGAGCTAGGCCTTTCCGCTTTAAAGCTAGGTCTCCATCTCGATCGAGAAGGCGACGATCCCCAAAAGGTTCTCTCTTTCGCTGAGAAAGCTCTCAGATCGTTTGATGAGTTAGCGAAAGAAAAACCTTCTCTTCTTGTAGCTATGGCCTTGCAGCTTATGGGCTCTGCTAACTACGGTTTAAAACGGTTTAGTGATAGTTTGGGGTGTTTAAATAGAGCGAACCGGGTTTTGGTTAAGTTGGAGGAGGAGGAGGGGGAGGGTTGTGTTGTGGAGGATGTTAGGCCTGTTATGCACGCGGTTCAGCTTGAGCTTGCTAATGTTAAGAACGCTATGGGGAGGAGAGAGGAGGCTATTGAGAATTTGAAGAGGAGTTTGGAGATTAAGGAGATGAGTTTTGAGGAAGGGAGTAAGGAGATGGGTGTGGGGTTTAGGAGTTTGGCTGATGCTTATGTGGCGGTTTTGAATTTTAGTGAGGCGTTGCCTTATGCTTTGAAGGCGTTGGAGATACATAAGAAGGAGTTTGGGAGTAACTCTGCTGAGGTGGCGCAGGATAGGAGGCTTCTTGGTGTGGTTTACAGTGGTTTGGAGGAGCATGAGAAGGCGTTGGAGGAGAATAGGTTGTCGAGGAAGGTGTTGAAGAATTGGGGGATGAAGGTGGAGTTGGTTAGAGCTGAGGTTGATGCTGCTAATATGAAGGTTGCTTTGGGGAAGTATGATGAAGCTATTGAGGTTTTGAAAGGGGTTGTGGAGCAGACGGATAAGGATAGTGAGATGAGAGGTATGGTGTTTATTTCGATGTCCAAGGCTTTGGTGAATCAGCAAAAGTTTGCTGATGCGAAGAAGTGTTTGGAGCTTGCTTGTGAGATTCTGGAGAAGAAGGAAGGCTCTTCACCTGTTGAAGTTGCTGAAGCTTACTCTGAGGTGGCAATGCAGTATGAGTCGATGAATGAGTTTGAGATTGCGATTTCGTTGTTGCAGAAAACTTTGGGGATACTTGAGAGGCTGCCTCAAGAGCAGCATTCAGAAGGAAGTGTTGCGGCTAGGATTGGTTGGTTGCTTTTGTTTTCCGGGAGAGTCTCTCAAGCGGTTCCTTATTTGGAAAGTGCGGCAGAGAGGTTGAAAGAGAGCTTTGGTGCTAAACATTTTGGAGTTGGATATGTTTATAACAATCTTGGTGCTGCTTATTTGGAATTGGGGAGACCTCAATCTGCTGCTCAGATGTTTGCAGTTGCTAAAGACATTATGGATGTTTCTCTTGGTCCTAACCATGTTGATTCGATTGATGCTTGTCAGAATCTTTCTAAGGCTTATGCCGGAATGGGAAAGTAAGTGTCAGTGTTTGTCTTGAGAAGTTTTTGATTAGTCTTTGAACATTGTATTGTTTTTTGTTTCTGCAGCTATAGCCTTGCAGTGGAGTTTCAACAGCAAGTGATCAAAGCTTGGGACAATCATGGAGATAGTGCGAAAGATGAGATGAAAGAAGCGAAAAGGGTATTTGAGGAGTTGCGGTTGAAGGCTCTTGGTGGTGTTTCAACAGATAAGGTTCTTACAAAGGCTTTACCTTTGCCCAAGAAGTGAGCTTTTGTGAGTTATGTTTAAAGCCGTGTTTTCCGAGAGTCTTACATTAGTAACGCAACAAGAATCTGTTGTAGTTCTTTTATCTTTATGCGAACATAGTTGTGGTTCTTCTTACCCATGATCAATGATGATACACGATTCATGCTTTTGAAGACAGCAGCAGCTTACAAAGCAATAATAAATAAATAATAATAACATCTCCAAGCTTGTCGGATAGAGAGTTTGGTAAACCGGAATTGATCGTTCAGGGAATAAATAAAAGTTTGCTCCATGCTATTTATTTCTTATTTTCTTAGTGAGATTTGTGAACTCTCTCTCATCACTAATAAATAAATGGAAAAAAGAATGGTGAAATTTGATTAGCCTGTTTTGCTTTCGACATATCATCATATATTCATATATCGTGTATGTAAAGTGAATACGGAATAGAATGCCCTATCTCTACCTCTATATTCCACTCCATAAGTTGCTCAAAAAAAAAAAAAAATTCCACTCCATAATAGAATAAATGAACAAAACAAAACAAAACAAAACAAAACAAAAAATAAATTACTCTATTTATAGAGCAAACTCTATTAATGAAAAATAGAGTTGGGTTGGAGTGTTTTTTACTCTATACTCAATTTTAAAATAAAAATTGGAGTTAGATTAAAGATACTCTAATTAACACACATGAATTAGTTTATTTTCTCATATGTTCTCCTAATTCGGCCTCATGGACATGGTCGGATACCACAACAAATTTAGAAAGGTGTCAAAACACTCTGGATTCAAAATCTGCCTCTCAAATGTACTACTACGCAAGGGGGGGGGGACAGAGGATATTTTACATATGATTTATTTTTTAGTCTTTGGAAATAGTCTAAAGATGGTCTGGATAACCAAAATTATTATTAAAAGAAAACATTACTCCTTCCAATCACAAATATTACTGTTTTTATTAGAGATAACAATCATTAAAACCCGACTTTTCAAATTAAAACCAAAAAAAATTTCAACTTTCACATATTGGTTGTTTTAACTCTCATATTTTGTTGATTCGGTCATTTAAAAACTTCGAATAGTCAACTCTTAAGTGAGATTATAAAAATAGATGTATGTTAACTTTGTAAATAATGTTGTTTAAAAAAATTAGTCAAACAACGTTGTTTTGCTTCTTTAAACATTTAAAGCATCTCTTTCGTGAAACTAGTGTCCAAAATCAGCTTCATCTTTTTTGACTCAAAATTAGGAAGATGAAATCGATTTGGAGTTCTGGTTTTGTGAATAAGATGATTTAAGTGTTTACAAAAACAAAACGACGTTGTTTGATTAATGTTTAATCAATTTTTAAAACAACGTCATTTAAGGAATTAACAGGCGTCTGTTTTTATAATCGAGTTTAACAGTTGACTATTTGAATTTCTTAAATGGACAAATCAATAAAATATGAGAGTTAAAACGGCCTTTATAAATGAGAATTTTTTTTGGCTCAATCATGAGTTGAAGGTTTTTTTGCTTTAATTTTTAAGTTCATGGTTTTAATGGCAATTTTCTCGTTTTTATTATGTCCATGCTATGTTTTACATGATACTTCTAATACATATACCAAGGGGCGTTACTTGTTTGTGTATTAATAAAGAGTATAAAGATTTTGATTTTAGAATGATTCTTGTGTTATTCAAATAAACTTTTCAAAACTATGTTAAAGTCTAATGTTATTAGTTTATGAATTTGTATAAGTATTAGAAGTTTTCAAAAGTCTAGTGTTATTAGATCGATTCGTTATTCTGTAAAATCTACAGAAGTCTTTATATTATTCAAAAAAAAAATGAAAATACTGATTTTTCACATTCTTTGAAATTATGTTGTTTCTGGTTTAGTGATTTCACACATTTTCTTCACAAAAGCCAATTTTCAAAGTATAACCCGTTGATCATGTATTCTACAAATATTTTCATTAAAATAAATTACAATTTTTAAATAATTCCTTCATTTTTTCCTTTGCTCAAATGGATTTGCAAAGGTTGATGCTGTTACTGAACTGAATGCACTCTCCATATCGAACCAGCTCATGCTAACATAACATGAACAAAAAATCAGTCAAAGAGTTGAGCATCTAGTATACCTGCAAGGTTGAAGTATTTTTATGGTTTAAAAGCAAGCTTCAACTTTTGGAAAATGCATTGAATTAACGTACAAATGATTTAAAATGAATACCCAATGATAAAATAACAGATAATGACAAACACAACAACACAATATTTAGTGATATATACTAGCAGATGTTTATAATTATCTTCAAATATTATTATCTATAATAATCTGCATAACTCTTAACAAAATTTAAAACTAATCTAACACTCTTTTAAATTCAGTAAACTGTTAAAATTTTAAAACACAATGCTTGATGCACTGAATGGTCCTCAGTCCACAAAGGCGGATGTTTTTTCTAGGTTTAGCTCTCAATATGGTCGTAATTTACTTCCTGGTTGGTCCAGATAGTAAACTAATTTGTGAACCAGAACATAAAGTATCCATCTTATAGTCAACCAGACGCGTACGTAACAGAAACTTACAATTTTTAGGATATTCGAACTCTCAATATATTTTAAAAATATTTACTGTTTGTTCTCTACTGATCCAAATCACTAACCAAGAAACCCAAACAGATAATAACTGATATTAGAGTCAACTTGAGTTATCGTTTTACCCCAAAAAAAACTTGAGTTATCGTTGACCAGACCTAAAAATCTTATTTGACCTTAATCAAAATATCATTGGGCAGACCTAAATATTGTGTTGTTGTGTTGTTATTGATGAAAGATTTGAACTTCTATAGAATTTTTTTGACATAATAGTACTTTTTGGATATAACGATACCATTTTTATTTGGTTTTGTAATTTTACTAATTTAATAAATATTTTATTTAATAAAGTTAAAGTTTAGATTAAAAATTCGAATTTAAGTGATTATATTTTTTATTAAATAAAGGGTATATAGAAAAAAATGAAAATGAATATGTTAAGAACTGAGAGGGAAAATAAAGAAAACCATTGAACTAAAATTTTAACTCAAAAGGATTTTGGTTTATTTGAAGGAAACTAAATATAGAAGGCCCTTTGAATTAATATGGATAAATAATGTTATCACTTGAACATGAACATTATTAACGGTGGCTTCTCACCCAAATTCCGATCTTTGAAAAATAATAAACTAATAAAAAGGATTAATGAGAAGTTTTTACGAAAGAATTTTTTAAACCATCTACAATGGAGGTTCTTTAATTAGAAGTATTAAAATTAAAAAAATATAAAATCAAGAGAGAAAGTGAAAAGAGATTCTAATTTTTTGTTTTGTTATAGAATCACTTCTAAATCTTTTTCATCCATATATAAATCAACACTTTAATGATTTAAAAGTATCAAATTTAATTGTATAACTAAATTATGAATTTTTTTTTTTTTAGAACCTTACATAATTTCTAATGGTTGGAGATGGTTTTAGAACAGCTTTATTGATCGGATGAAGTGGATAAGTGAGGGAAAACAAATTCTAAAAATGGAAAATGAGAAAAGAGAGGGTGATATCGTTTCAGTGCAGAGAAGTGATTTGAACATTTTCACATCTTTAATTTACAAATGGCAGTCTCTCATTTGTATATTTTATTATAATTTTTTTTTAATTATTTATTAAAAATGTATTAAATAAAATATATAAAAAAAGATGAGAACCATCAAGTGAATCTAACCAATAAGTTTGCTTCTACATATTTATTAGGACAATCCCAGCGATGAGAACCTGTTTTACAATACGTAACATGTATAAAACTATTATTGTAATGTAATTGATTAATTTAACGAAGTTTGAACAAGTAACCAAGGTACATATGCAATATGAAATTGTAGCAAAGTTCTCAAATGGTGGGTTCAGAAATACAATATGTACCCTCTTTCATCATGTTTAATTACTTTTAACAAAATAACGATGAGTATTTTTGTTTAGACACTTACTTTAGAGAAGTTATTAGACCATGATTAATCCTAACTTTTTAATTAAGGTTTTTAGCTTCGGTTAAAAAAACATTTTTTAATTTTTTAAAGATTTTAATTAAGAAAAGTTAAAAACTATTTCTTAGCTAAAAATATAAAATAATTTTTTTTTAGCAAATCATAAGTTAAGAACTCCAACTAAAAAATGAGAGTTAATCGTGTACTTAAAATTCTAATAGCCGAGAGTCAATAGATTAGAAGTTGATTATTTAAACAATTAAGATAAACACATATTAATATAATACTAATTAAAAAAATTGAGACATTGTTACGGTATCTGAGCGTTAAAGATGCTCACTGCATGAATGTCTATGTTCAAAAGGGGATGCATTTGAGGTCAAACATCATATACTTTTAACGGACAAAAGTATTTTATTTCTGTCCCGCCCGCATACTCTTGTTCGCTTTGGCGATTTCGATGCTCTTTTCTTTTTTTTCAAGCAAATCTGCCTCAATAATCTTCAAAGCATAGTTTACAGCAATAAACTCTTTCTTTATTTCGTTTTAGCAAAAAAAAAAAAATCTTCTTTATTTCTTACTGTCTTTCTATTTCCCACTTTTTCTGATGGAGAACAAGCAATGGACATATGATTTGTCTATTTAATAGCACATATGATGAAATCACATGCCTCAACAAAATCAAATTTTATCAAAAGAATTTATTATGTTACAATATTATTATCTAATGGTTTATATTAGGCGTGGGCAAAAGAATCAGAACCGAAGAACCGAACCGGAACCGAACCGAAATATCTGAAACCAGAACCGAACCGAAATATCTAAAACCGGAACCGAACTGAAACCCTCAAATATCCGAACGGTTCTTATATTTATATATCCAACATAACCAAACCGAACCGACAACCGAATTTTCTAGGTATTTTCTGGTTCCTAGTTTTACTATCGGAACCGAACCCGAAACTATCCGCACCGCACCGAACCGAACTCGAAACTATCCGCACCACACCGAACCGAACCGAACCAAAAAAAGGTTGATCATCTAACTCCTTATCCGAACTACCCGAAACCCGAAATATCCAAACCGAACCGAACCAATACCCGAAACGCTCAGTCCTAGTTTATATCCTGATTTTAGAATTTTACCATCGGTGATGCTCTTAATAAGCTTCTTTATCCATAACATTTTGGGGGGGGGGGGATGCAAAAATGCTACATTTAGTGTTATGTTAATTTACCGTATCAATTAATCCACGTAAGACGAAAACAACTTTCATTTTCCAGTCTACTCTCTTTCAGTACAACAGTAAGACTCAAAGGACGAGAAGCGAGTCCCACAATCAAGTCTATCACAGCTTATGTGGCAGAGAAGCGCCACATCAGGAATTGATGCTCTCATCTATTTTGTCGTTTTATAGCCGCCTAACGTCACTCTGCGAATAATAGTTCGCCACGTGGAAATAAAAATCATCCTGTTTTTTTTTTCTAATAAATGATAGATACTTGTGAAATCTTGTTTTTTTTCCTTAAATACATTGCAAAATAATTCCAGTTAAGGCCGCCATTTTTGTCTGTAAGACCTACGAAAAGAAAAATGAAAACAGTATATAACAATAAAATATATCCCACTTTCAAATATCTAATATATTACATGACCCTATATATAGGATTAGGTTTTGAAACAAAGTTATTCCACAACAAAAAAAAATAAGAAAAAAAAATATACCTTCCTTCTTCATTTAACATGGAATATTCTCAATTAACCATGTATTCTTCTTCTCCTAGTTCTTGGAGCTCATCACAAGAATCGTTCTCATGGAACGAAGGTTCTTTCTTAGATCAATCATCCACTCACCAATCTTTCTTTTGCGCTGATTATAATTACTCCAATGACTCAAATCCTCAATCCTTCTTCTTTTGCCCTAATTCTAATTACTCTAGTGATCTTTTCTCATTTATGACTCAAGGAGAAACTCAAAACACCTCTAAATCCGAAGAGAAAGAAAAGAATGGTAGTGCTATTGATGAAGAAAAGCCATACAGAGGAGTGAGGAAAAGGCCATGGGGGAAATTCGCGGCAGAGATAAGAGATCCGATGAGGAATGGGATTAGGGTTTGGCTCGGGACGTTTGACAAAGCCGAGGAAGCAGCTCTTGCTTATGACCAAGCAGCTTTTGCATCGAAAGGGTCTCTCGCGGTTCTCAACTTCCCTGTGGAAGTGGTCAGAGAGTCTCTCAAGAACATGGAGAATGTGAATCTTGATGATGGTGGATCTCCAATTATGGCATTGAAGAAAAAACATTCGCTTCGAAACTTGCCTAGAGGGAAAAGGAGATCTTCTATTCCTCATTCATCTTCTTCACCTTTAACAGCAAGAAGTAATAATCAGAGTGCTGTGGAGGAAGGAGATAGTACACTTTTGGTTTTTGAAGATTTAGGTGCTGAGTATTTAGAGCAACTTCTTATGAGCTCATGCTGATCTGGTAATTGCTTCCAACTTCAGCTATCATTAAATTTAATTTTGTCGTAGTGTGAAATTTGTTCGTTTCATTCTGCAAATATCTTAATTTATTATCTTATTTTTCCTTTGTTGTATCCAAATGAAATTGTTGGAAAGATGAGATGGTAATGTTGAACTGTATAGAGAATCTGTTATTGGGTCATGTTGGTGGAAAGTGTGAGTGTCCACCGTAATTTCTTTACTATTTGTTTGTTCTTTGATATTCTTAATTAGAGCATAGTAAATCACACTTTAGACAAATGTTAATTTCATATTATGTTTATATCCTAATAGATTAGATGTTACAAATTACATAATAATGTCCATATTATATTGTATTAAATGTCGTTGATGAAGCTTTCGCTATCATTTTTGTTAATTTCACTATTGCTATCGTTTTTGTTAATGTCATTATTGATTTGTTGTTTGACTTTCATTTGTAAGCTATTTTGAAACACTTTTGATACAATGACGATAAAATTCACCAGGGACGTTAAAATAAGGTTGAGACTTTGTTGGCTGATATGAGTTGTTATTTTTTTAAAGATATCATCACATGAAAACGAGTTTTGTTTGTAATGTAATGTGCGTCAATGAATTGTACGTAATACTAATACAGTCGTCGCCGCGTTAGTATAACTTCAGAGTATGAGTGTGCAAAGAAAATAAAATTCCGAGACTATAAGTGCATATTATGAGTGTGCAAAGAAAATAAACTTCCGTGATTATAAGCGCATATTGTAGTTAAAAATTTTCATGTGAATGTATATATTTAAGTATTGATCGTGCAATGTTATTCGGAAATGTATTTTTTTTTTGTCAAAAATTCGGAAATGGATGTGAAATTCGATTAAGCAAACTGAATCAACTAAACAAAAATAGAACTTTAAGAATTAAGTTCTTATTATTTTGTTAAAAGATGAAAACTACTAAAGGAGGTTAATAGACGAAAACTAAATTAATTTCGATAATACACTTTAAAGTGAACCAAAGTAAACTAAACAATATCCTTCTACAAGTCTTTTTTGTCCGTCGAAATTTCATGAACTTAAGATCTCGTATAAAAAGCTAAACTCTGGGGTGAAATTTAAGAACAAAGTAAAATAATTTAAATCTAGTAAAACATTCCACATTTAAACTCAATAATCATGAAATAATAAACTTCTATAAATAAGGATTATAGATATATTTTATATATTGATCCTGTATAAAATTTTCTTAGTATTTATTCTTAGTTCAGTGACCAACATTATATTTACACAAATTTAACTTAATTTTCTTACAAAATAAATATTACAAATGGAAAACAAATACACATAATCGAAAATATGTAAGATATCAATATATATATATATATATATATGTGTGTGTGTGTAACAATAACTTTAAGATCATAACTCGTTAACAAAAACAAAAAAAAAGCAGCTAGTTTTCAATCTGATTTGTCATCGCGATGAACTCCACAAAATCCAATTTTAAAAACGTAAGAGCAAAATTATTAGGAATTTCTACACTTGAAATTCTAAAAATATATATGTATGTAATTGTGGGTTTCTAGCTAAGGGAAACTCAACCAAAAATTTCTTAAATAAAAAAATTTCGTTTGAATTTCCCATAAAATTAGAACCCACAATTACATACACATATATATAATATCCCAATAATGTTGATCTAACAATCCACCTTATGATCCTGGATGCAAGACTTCCAAGACTTAAATTAAGCCTTCAAGCATATTGATCGTGCAATGTGATTTCGAAAATGAGTGTCACCATCATTGTAATTTGTAAGCAGATGGTACCAGTAGACAGATTTAGTTATTCAGTTTTTGCTTCGTATTTGTATTCCAATCTGAACTGAAAAGAAAAGAAAAGAAAAAAATATATATGTTATTTTTTCTCCTGGATTGCAAAGGAAAAAAGGGTTCATTCATCTTTGGAAGTGGTTCAAGTTTTAAAATATTCCGGCAAAGACAAAAACAAAATTAAAGAAGTTAACCAAAACAAATTTTTATTTAATATCTGGTGAAATGATATTACATATATATATATATATATATGTTTAATAAAATATAACCTTTTCGACATTAATGTAATACTTATTAGTTGGAGTTTTTATGAATAAAACAGCTAATATGGTACAATATATTAGGAAATGGTAAATACGTACAAGTATATATATTAGTACATTTTCATGAGATAATTTTCTCCTAAAATCAAAAGTAAGAGATGTGGAAACACACAAAATAGTGGGATTGTTTGCTTCTGTTTAAGATAATCTAGAAAACCTATTTATCGAAAACTAAATGGTTTGAATATAAATGAAAATTAATTTGGATGTATACTGAGTATGATTTTATTGAAGTATTTGATAGTTAATCATTTTTGTTTTTTAGTGTAACGATTTACCCAAAATGAGAATTTGCTGCTGAAAGCATTTATGTCAGGTGATATGTTTTTTTTTGTAACTTCAGTGTTTATCAATAGTTTGGTTTTAAAATATTTGTGGTACAGATATATATATATATATATATATATATATATAATATATTTAAATGATACAAAATTAAATACGAGTATATACTTCAAGTGAGCCTATTCGAAATAGAGAATAGTTCAGTAAAAAGAAAATGAAATAGAGAATAGTACAAAAGAGTAATAAACAACAAGAAAATGACAAGAGTGCTCATGAACAAAGCATATCCAAAAAAATTAAAGAAAGCGTGACCACCTGATCGTAGATATATTGTACCTCAATTTTAAAATAAAATAAAAATATAATTAGTAGTCCAGTTTGCCCCAGTCCGATTCCGATGAAGTTGAACCACAATCCAAAAATCTCACAGTGATCCGGCTTGGGTTTTAGAAGTTGCAATTTGCTGGATACAATAGCACAATACACAACTAACTATTCAAATGTTTAATTGTCAAGTTGATAAACTTTGGCATGTCAAACTCTTTTGTTGATATAATTAATCAAAATACAAGAACTCTTTGATAGCTTACTCAATCTACATTTTTATGGCAAGTACATGCTTGAATAACCACTCTCATGGCGATCATGAGTATATCATATCGTCTTCAAATTACAACATCAAAGCAGAATCTCGAATAACAATGCAATTTATTTTTTTCATTTGTTTTCGAAAGTCAATTTTTATAATTTCATTATTTTATTTTATTTACATATGAAGGTTTATTTTATGTTTATTCATGCTCGAAGTGTTTACATCATGTTTAAAACATTAGAAACTAATAACTTTTACATTCATATCATCTACAAATTACAACATCAAAACATAATCTTAAGTAAACAATGCAGGCCACTTATTATATTTCTCTTCATTTTTATCTTTAAAAGGGGAATCCTAATTTAACTACAAATTTTAATACTAATTTTTAAATTTACTTTCCAATGTTACTATTTCATAGATACCTTAAGTATGAAATGGAAAAACTAAACTAACTTTCCTAAATTATTATGTTTAAGAATTATTTACAGAATCTTATAAACTCAATCTCATCATCTAAATACCAATAATCACTAAACCCTAAACCCAAATACTAAGATACTTTTGATTAATTGTAATTTTGAACACTGGTGTCCACCTTATGGTATTTCAAGTAATTTTTCAAATATATTTGTGATGTTAGGGTATTTATGGCCTACTTATTTTAAATTGTATTTACTGTATTTAACTAGATATTATTTCCTGAAATTTCCATAAGAATCCAAAATTTCCAAGATATCAGAAATTTTAGGTTTTAAATTATTACTAAAACTTAAGAAGTGATATTTAGATGATCTAACAACACCTAAAATATTTAACTTTTAAAAATGTAGATTTTTTGTTAAAAGCTAAAATCACCTAAATATGAGATGCTTTAGGATTATTGTCTCCGAATTATAACTTTTTATATTTTTTGTCAAAATTTTAATATTTTTTTGTCATCAAATGTTAATCCATTTCATATAGAATTGATAAGAAGATACACGATAACATGGATCTAGGGCTGCCAAAAATGCAAATTTCTATCCAAGAGAATGATTTAAAAGTCTCTTAGATACATAATAACTAAGATTAGCTGAAATCAATTGAAAATGACTAATGCTTTATTTTTTTTTGTATTTTTAGACATTTTTAATATAAATATTAAATACACATCCCTGCATTATACCCTTGTTTATGGATGATAAAGTCCGAAATAGCATGAAGACACGTCTTAAAATTGAATATCTGGTAAAATGTGATGTCGATTTTTACACATGCTGGATTTAATATAATGTGATGTCAAAATGTATTATAATATTAATTTTGACAAATTATTTTTACAGCAATATTAACAAGTATAGATATTCTTTTGGGGTTTTTGAATGTTGGAGTTGCTCTTAGCGAGAACCAAGGGCTGGCGAGAACACACAGAAAATATTATCTTTTGTATTATATATTGATTAGTTTAACTATATAGGTCGTCAGATGACAAGATTCCCAATGTTGACGCTCATGTCTTTTCTTTCACATGTGGTATTATATCGTTTGAAACACTATATATCTAGTTAAAGAGAAAAAATATCTAGTAAAACAAGTCGTCGAATTTATATTCTTTCGCATGTAACGTTCAAAAATAACTACACCTCTATAACGAAATATCTACCCATCATTCCCCATGCTGCCCTGTAAAAACTCAATAGAATACCCATCCAGTTTTGGAGCCGCGTTTAGGTAACATACAAAGCGATACTTTTTTATTCTTTATCATATTCACAAAACAAATTGATTATATAATTGAAATAGAGTATATTGTAAATATTCCTATTAAGAATATATAAATAGAATCAACTTGTGAAAGTGTATGTTGGAAAACTGTTTCAAAGTGAGAAATAGAAACAAGTACAAAAGGTCTTAAAGACTACCAACTAATAGAATCAAGATTATTAGAAACAAAAGCATATGCGAAGCAAATGATCATATCTTGTAT